AGCCAACAGCAGTTGTAACAAACTGACCACACACACTGAAAGCTGGATTAATGCAGGCCGATCAATCAGCCCCAACTGTCAAGCATATGTTGAATGGCACCTGCACTAGTCTTTATGAAGAACTGAATTTGAAGGCTGAAACTAAATAGCATTATCAATTAATTTATCAATTATATAAATAATGACAAATGCTTATCACTTTTTTTCAGAGCCCAAAGTAACTTGCTCAAATTTTTTGTAGTTCTGTCCAACCAACAGTCCAAAACCCAAAGATATTTAATTCATAATAACAATATATAGCTAGAATATTCCTGGATAAATTTTGAATGTGCCTGCTGCTTGGTGCGTGTATTTCACTACTCACGTTTCAATCCGTACAAAGGATGTTATTTTCAGTTTCATTCATGTTCGAGAGACTTCCTGACATTGACCTCAGTCACTGCAGTTGTCCCTCAAAAAGCCATTTGAAGCTGTCACAACTGGCCAAAATAACCTCACACTGATGGTGTGTATACATGTCTCGCTAACAGAAGTTGATCTACAATAAAGCTATCCACTATATACCCATGTAGACGATAGCTTCTAAGGTCGAGCTTTTATTACCTATCTTACCTCTTACCTTTTTGAGACTCTTATTTTGAAAGTGCATCCATGTCGTGGTATGGTGTGTGTCTGTAATGTCTGTGTTTGGCAGTATGAATTGCATAAGGTTTTGTTCAGCAGAGCCAATAATTCCCTCTTGCCATGCTGACACTTTTATGTATATATATGTGTGTGTGTATGTGTGTATGTGTGTGTGTGTGTGTGTGTGTGTGTGTGTGTGTGTGTGTGTGCAGGGGTTAAATTGGGCCAGAGCCCTCCGGAGCTGAGCTCCACCTCCTCATGCACAAATCGGACCCAGCTGGAGTTGAGCTCCTTCTCCCTCAAAATCATATCATCATATCACATTTACTTGTATTTTTAAATCCTCCAGTACCCCTAATAGCATATGGGTCTTGATGAGTAATTCTGTAAACTACAAATAGAGATGTTTGAGGTGATTGCTACACCTAACCAATGTTAAGAAAGAGCTCTATAGGTTACTGCTATCAATTATCACGTCATGAGATGCTTCAGGCACGTAGTCTCTAACGGCACCAATATCACCATCTGACATTTAGTCAATTGTTTTTTGGTAAGTTTTCAAATGCTCATCTCTGAATTAGCTAACATCTTGTGAGTATTTACTGAGCTGTGTTTCCTTGGTGAACTAGACATGTTCTCTCCCTTCCCTTGTGGTATCTGGACATTTCAATTAGAGAAACAAAAATACAGTCGAAAGCGGAGCATTAAAAACTAATTCAGACAAGACCCAGCAGCAGCGACTTACTCAGACTATCGGGGCAAAGTGAGAAATCTTTTATTGTCATTTATTTTAAATGGGCAAATTTATTCCCATGCTGCTGCTCCTCTCACGCTGTGCACATGCAGGCAGGTGTGTGAGTGAGTTACTATGGTTACGGTAGCTTCACGTTTGATTCTTCTCAAAACCTTAGCATTTAATTTGCATCTTTTTTCTTCTTACCTGATTGACTATTTGCAACAAAACATTTGATGGTTCGGTGATCACGCCCCAATATCTTAGCAATTTCAAGAGTGCTGCATCCCTCTGAAAGGCTTTTTACCATTTTTGACCTTTCAGAGTCAGTTAGAACTCTTTTTCGGCCCATTTTGTCTGAGGAAAGGAACCTGCCTAATAATTATGCACACCTTGATATAGGGTGTTGATCTCTTTAGGCTACACCCTCCCTCATTACACAAAAACACATCACCTGATATGCTTAAATCCAATAAGCATTTAAGTTTATACAGCTTGGAGTTCGAAAATATGCAAAAAAAATGATGATATGGTCAAAATACTCACTTGCCTAATAATTGTGCACACAGTGTATATATATATATATATATTGAAAGAAACACACAAACACCACCTCCATAAATTGGATTTACCTTAAAAATAAAACTCAACATGGTGTAGCGTACATACCTGGCCTGGCATCAGTCACAAGCCATTAAAGAAGTTCATTGTAAGGACAAGCAGAGTTATGGACCCACAATTGACACTTTGTGACAGAAGGGTCCTTTGTCTCTGTTTCCTATCAATTTGATAGTTTGATGGTGGGAATAGTCACAAACAGTCCATGCTTTGAGAGACATAGAATCAGATCAAGGGTCAAAGGCTCCAGAGGATCAACGAATGGACACCAGGCAACTGGAGAATATAGGCAAAATCTCCAGTTTTAACAATAAGACTCTGCCTAACAATATTTGATTGTTTCTTATATAGGATAAGTGACACCAAAAGGTCTGATTATCACAAAGGTGTGAATCCTGGCCTCTCTGTGCCATGCATGAGCACACACACACACACACACACACACACACACACACACACACACACACACACACACACACACACACAACACAACACGCACACACCAACCTCCCTTCCTCTGTCCCTCTCTAGATAAGAGTCATAATCTACAATCCACATTCCAATCCTGAGAGGTGACCAGCAGAAATCTCTTCACAGACACAGATCTGAGGAAGAATATATAATTAAATATCTGTTCTGTAACTCATGAGATGTTCCTATGCAATAGTTTAATCCCAAACATCTATCCTATAGAATGTTTGAAATGTAACATGTAGATTTTAAGACAATGTCCTTCATGTGACCATACTGTCAACATCCTTCACACGAGGTAACACACACTACATGACATCCAGAATGTCCATATTATTATTATTACAGTCAAAGAACTGCTGTGTAATCCACATTTAGAGACTATTAGTTTTAGGAAATGTTTATATTGTTGTTTGATCAGTTAACCACTTGTATTTTGATTAATTCCAGATTTGAAGGATGTAATATGAAATCAACACTCCTATTACTCCTATCTGTCATTATTAGTGCCATTAGGTTTATATGTTATTTCATTTAATGTTTTGTGGTCATGATGAAAGACGGATGTGCGAGTTTATAGGTAAACTCTAAAATTAAACTATTCAAACGTTCTGTGGAAAATTACTGTCTTCTCCAGGTTGACACAAAGGAGAAGACAGGAAACGCCCCCTGAAACATGTGCTAGCCCCAAGGGGATAAAACAGTTGTGATCAATTCACACTTTGCTAGAAGGTGAAAAAACATTGCTCAATGGCTCTGTAGCTATGTAGTTCCAAACTCTTGCCAAGGCTCTTAGCCATTTTTGCACTTGATCGTTTCGTCTGCGTCCTTTATTATTTCTTTGCCACGTGCTCCAAGTAACATTATTTTGTCTACATGTGCGATCTTTTATTTTTATAAGCCAAGTCAAAACCAACTGAACCAAAACAACAGAAGTGCCTCAGAGTAATTTTGTAACTTTTAATTATCATCAAGTTTTCCTTTTTGAAGCTTTTTGACAACTTTAGAGTCATCTGGTCAACACCAGTCTCCTCTAAAGTTATCCAGCCAAAGTGAAGAGCATTAGAGTTTATTTCACATCAACCCGCAAGAGACGCCAGCAGATAACATCTGCACGACCGCCTGCAGAGAAGCCGACCAGAAATCAAGAGTGCCCGAGACAGAAAGTCTCCTGACAAACTCCACCAGAGCTAAACAGAGCTGGGACACCGGCAGAAACCGCAACCGTGATAACAGGACACGGCCTCCAGGAGAATCCACCTAGATCCCGCGTCTCCAGGGTTACCACGGCAAGCACAGCCAACTGGGTTCCAGCCAAGGGTCTTCAGCTACAGAGCAACTCACAGTAGGCCGGTCTTAACACTCTGCTCATGACTGGGTTGATGTGGAAATATCGTAACATTTAATCATCGAATCTCATTCGTAGACGTAGTATCATTAGCTGTATAGCCATAGTGTATAGCCATAACATATTCTCTTTTAACGCTACAATGGTAAGAGGGAATTATTGGCTCTGTTGTACTAAACCTTATGCAATTTTTACTGACAAACACAGAAGCATAGACACTTTCAAAATCAGTCTTAAAAAGGTAAGAGGTAAGGTAGGTCATAAAAGTTCAATCTTAGAAGCTATCGTCTATATGGGGATATAGTGGTATAGCTTTATTGCAGATCAACTTCTGTTAGGGCATGTATATGTGTGTATACAAATTTGGGTTTGAAACCATCAGTGTGATGTTATTTTGGCCAGTCGTGATAGCTTCAAAAGGCTTTTTGAGGGAAACTTGCAGTGGCTGAGGTCAGTGTCAGGATAAGTCTCTACGACATGAATGAAACTGAAAGTAACTTCCTTTGTACAGATTGAAACAAGTGGAGTGAAGTACACTCACCAAGCAGCAGGCCCATTCAAAATTTCTCCAGAAATTTTCTAGTTGTTATTTATTGTTGCTTTAATTATTTAATCAGCCAACAATCGTAACTGTATGTTTGGGTGAAAAGCAACTATAGTGATGTTTAACGCCAATAGGATACAATCAAAATATCTAAAAATATTTCTGAAACACGGAAACAAAATACAAGTTCTAGAGCTGAGAACCATACCATCAAACATGACCAATGTAAAATAAACTTCTCAGGAACTACCACAGACATACTACACCTCTCTGTCGTAACACTGGAGAAATACTGTTGGGACAGAAGAAAAAACAAGACCTGGTCTGTGTTTGGCCCGGAAAATGAATCTAGGCCAGCATTATATTCTCTATTAATATACTGGGAACACACTGGGTTTAAGTAGATCTGTACTTGCAGTGACAGAACCATACTGGAACCCAGCAGCTTAGACTTTGTTTTATGTTAGTTTGGGTCTTTGTGTGATCAGTTTTAATAAAAAGATTTTTATCATGTACCAGGTAAGCAAATCTTTTACAAAGGCTATAAAAGCTATTATACACATTTCTAATCCAAATCCAGATAAAAGAGTCATTCACATTAAAATGTTTTTGAACATGGGTGTGTGTCTTATATTCGGCTGAAGTGGCTCTTGAGTACTCACCGATAAGATCTGATCGCCTCGCCGCAGCTCTCCACTCAGGTCGGCAGGCCCTCCAGCCAGGATGAAGGAGACAAAGATTCCCTCGCCATCTTCACCGCCCACGATATTGAAGCCAAGGCCTGTGGAGCCTTTGTGGAGCACGACCTTCCTGGGTTCCCTGTACAAACAGTTCAGATAGTACATCAGCTCGGGGGAGTCGCTGGGTCTCAGCATCTTCAGCTGAGGCGGTGTGGAGGACAGAGCGGTGGAAAACAACTGCACAGTACGCTGACAAAAGCCTCAGTGATGCTTCGCTCAGGCTACAGAGCTCAAAGACTGCTAGAGCTCCACAGGGGGATGGTGCTCTACTTAGGACCACTTGTCCCCAATTCAATTCTGACAGAAAAGACCTCATTGCATGCTTACACTCACACACAGTCTTGATTTCTCTTCTCACTCATGCACACATGCCAGGATAAATGCATGGGATCTGTACAAACATATTGAAGGGTACGAGCTCCCTATAGGGGTGTAGCAGCATTTTCAGGGTACAGACTCAAATATAGACATACAGGCCACAGAATCCCATTGCTTTTATGTGAAAATATGTTGCTGTTTACCAGTGAATTAGTACCTACAGTGTACATGGAGAAACAATGAAACTTATTGTGTGATCACAGTAGTTAACTGTCACACAGGAAAGATATCTATCAAACTGAACAGAAGTAAAAAGATTTCACATTTTACTTTTTCCCCACCGTATTTTTTTTATCATGTGACATCTGATATGCAGCAGGAGGACATTACCCTTCCAGAGGACGACCAGGTACAGTAGCATTGTCATGAATGAAAGCAGCATAATGACATCTGCTGGAGAGTGCATAGACTACAGGAGCATGAGGAAGCATCAGTCATCAGTGAGCACTGCAGGTCATTTTAGAGCAAAGCCATTGAGTGTTTGCTTAATTTTCTCTTGTTCCTCTGAAGTTTCTGCTGCAGTGGCTCATATCCACTAGCCAACAAAGCCTCCTATTCACTGTCATTTGAAGACACATCAGAGTTTCTGGCTTTTAAAGACATTTGACGGTTTTAACTTGACTTAACAAGCCATTAATCATGAACAAATACATGATTCATGCTAAACTGTAGCATATTTTGTACTTGACATGATCCTCTCTATGAATCCTAACCTTGAAAACGGGCCTCCAACAACAAAACATTTGTATACAAATTCAGGAATTTCTAATGGAGTACAGATAACCTGATTTCATCCTCCCTCTGCCATTTCAACCATCATAACAACCCTACAAGTTTTATAACAAAACAAAAATTTTTGATTATACAGCATCCCAGTTTTGATACCCTACAGAATGAACTGACATTTGTCTAAGTTATAAATGATAAGATTCTGTAGAAAATGCTTCAGGGCGGATGAAAGAATCATTAATGCAAAGAATAGAAGAGATTTAATGTGGAGAGAACTGTATCAGTTTCATATGTAAATCATAACTCAAACAGACATCATATGTCTGTGAATACTTATCATAGTCGGTGCCTGTTTTTGTTGCATTTCCAAGGACTGTTGTGGCTGTTGAGTTATTATAGTTGCATGGTTTACACGAGACGCTTCATCAACCCCCTACAGTAAATGCATGATTAATTATGGACCATTATAAACATGAATAACAAGTTATAAAAAAAAACTACAAAGCAACAGTTAACTGTGGTATTTCAACTTCATCATGTCCTGACATTCTCCACATGTCTGTACTGTATCTACAGAGACACCTAATGTATGAAGCCCAGGATGTACATCTTAAGTACAGAGTTAGGTTCGGGTTAAAACTAGACAATGACTCTTTGGTTTAAGTTGTACAACTGAACCAAGATGAAGGTGCTGTTGTCACAGCCCCTCTATGACTGCAGGAGTTTCCCAGTGTTTCCTGTGTCTTTCCCTGTCTGTCTTCCCCTGTATCTCCTCCCCTTTTTTTTCTGCTTCTCAGCAGGGGTGTGGTGCAACACGGGCTACCTGGCTCACCTGTTTCTCATCACTCATCAAGCTCACTCGTCGCCAGATTGTTCCATTCTGTACGTGGTAACACTCCAGGCCACTTAAAATGTTTCAGTGTAAATTGTGATTGCTTACTTCTCATTGTCTTGGATTATTCCTCACCAGTGTCTCTCTCTGCCTTCAGTTAATGCCTTCTCCAGTGTTGCTACCTGCTCCTGCTGAACCTGCTGCTCCCAGTCAGACCACTCACCTGCTCCACACCAGCCATCCACCTCCACACTCCTCCTGCTACAACCCAGATCCTTCACCCCCCAACATTCCCCTGGAACTCTCTCCCTCACTGATCACCATAAAATAACTTTTGTTTAAACACTTCTGGTTGTTCTGTGTCTAAATCTGCTCTTGGGTCCAAATTGCGTTTTATCAGAACGTAACAGAACAATCTGGCCACCCTGCAGATTCAGATGCATTATGCCAGGCAGTAGCTGCCCAAGGGACATTGATTGGACAACATGAAAGAGTGCTTTTGGATATTATTGAAAACCTTAAAACCCTCAGTTCCAGTGTCACACAGCTCGGAGTACAAATGGACCACGTGTTTGCTCGTTTGTCTCCTCCTGCAGCAGCTGCTTGTCTTCCTGCTCCAGAACTCCCCCTCCCCCCTACTGCCCGGGCTGCTCCTACACCTCTCCCCTGTGAACCTCACATGCCCACACCGGAGCGTTACAGTGGGGAGTTGGGTGCTTGCGGACGATTTCTCCTCCAGTGTTCTCTAGTGCTTGCATAACAACCATCCACGTATTCCTCTGATGAATCTAAGATAGCTTTTCTAGTGAGTCTCCTCACCGGCAGAGCCAGTCAGCTGGCCACTGCTGTGTGGGAGCGAGACTCATGGTTCTCATTTACCTACCAGCAATTCGTTATTGAGATGAAAAAAATCTTTGACCAACCAGTAAGAGGTAAAGAAGCCGCCAGCCGTCTTTTGTCTCTGCGCCAGGGCTCTAAGTCATTAGCTAATTATTCCATCCAGCCAGGATTAAAGAGGGGCTCTGCATCTACTATGGGCAAGCCGGACATGTCCTCTCCTCCTGTCCCAACCTGCCAAAAGCCTAGGCTCACTGGGTACAGGAGGAATCCTGGTGAGCCAAAGCATGTCCTTGATTCCACCTCTCCCAAACACACAAAGCTGGAAACGGTGCTAATGTGGGAGCGGTCAGATGACAATTTCATCGATGCCACATTCACTTCACAAAGCAGTTTTCCCATTCAGAAACTCACCTCTCCCAAGGCCATCAACACCTTAGATGGAAAACTTTTCTCCCATGACACACACCAGGCCGCCCCACATCCCTCCTCATCTCTGGAAACCATCATGAGGTAATCCAGGTGTTCTTGATTCCCTCTCCTCACACTCCACTTGTTCTAGGTCTGCCTTGGCTCCACCTTCATAATCCCCAAATAGCCTCTAGTTCAATCACTAGCTGGAGTGTTCACTGCCAATTGTCTCAAGTCTCAGCTCTCGCCCCTCACAAGCTTACCATTCCCTCTCCTCCTGAGACTCCTGATCTGTCATGCCATTTGGACTCACTAACGCCCCAGCTGTGTTCCAGGCACTAGTGAACGACATCCTCAGAGATATGCTCAACCATTTCGTGTTTGTCTATTTAGACAACATCCTGATTTTCTCCTGGCCCCTACAAGAACATCAACAACATGTCAGGTTAGTGCTCCAAAGACTGCTTGAAAACAAACTCTTTGTTAAAGCTTAAAAATGTGAATTTCATTCCCAATCTGTCACTTTGTTTTCTGGGGTTTATCATAGCAAAGGGGCAGCTGAGATCAGATCCAGCTTGAATGCGAGCAGTGGCAGAGTGGCCAAGACCTGAAAACTGAAAGCAGGGCCAGCAGTTCATATTACAACAATTGTGCTGTTAAGTTAATGTGCAGTTAATTTTTTTGTCCCATCAGGGGAGGGGCAAGGGGAGTTGCCATCAGGTAAAATACTCTCCTGTGAGACACGTTTCAGGGATGGATTACTACCATGATTACTGAAGATTTCCAGGTCATTGGCTGAGGACAGAGGATTGAGGTCGGGAATAAGCCAAATTATCTGAATGGAAAGCAGCAAATGTGCTAATTTACCCGCATAACATATTTTCTTTCAAGTAAATTACCTTCATTAGTAATGATGGTGAATGCAAACCAAATTAAGACCTACAGCAAGAGGTACAGCACATCAGCCAAACATGAAATATAATAGTGCTAAATTTGTGTCAGTGACTTTCTAATTCTTACATGCCCCACCTTATTCCAAAACATTTTTTCTTTTGTGACTGACAAGTTTCTCTGTCTGTGGTATGAACCAAACTTTGATGTAAGGGAAAACGTGTTGGCGGTAGATAAGACTAGAAAGCGACTGCAGAGTCCTGACAAGAGATGAGGTCAGTGAGAAAATAATGCAAAGATGTGGTTGCCAGGGGCTCGAAAGAGGGAGCAACAACCTGAATGCATGAGAGAAAACCAGGTGGTTATAAAGGACGACACAGTGACATGGCATGCCATTTCCACAGTGGGATGGGACACAGCGACTGAGTGCAGAGAAGAGGTGATGGTGGTAGTGGAAAGTACCTGGTGATGTCCGAGTCAGGGAACAGGCTTAAGTGATAGTTTGGGAGGGGGGCGGAGTGGAGGATGCTTTTGTCAAACTCCACTGGGGAATAGTGTCGGGGGGAGGGTGCTTTGTCACATAGTTTGTTCACAGTGCTGTAAACTGGCTCAGGAGGCCTACAGTGGAGTGAGAGACAAGAGCAGAGAGGTTAGTGTCCAGAGACAGAGGTGGGGATGAAGAGACTGGGATAAATAGAGAGGAGACCATGAGGAGTAAAAAAAAAAAAAAGAAAGAAAGAAATGAAGTAGATTGAGACCGTAGATTAGGATGTACAGGATATATGGTTCTTACTGGTCAAAACACAAAAGTCACAGAGTCGGCTTAAAGAGAAAAGACACTTGTGTTAACAACTTCCTGATGGTTAATATGGACAGATGTGACACCGGTGGAACTAAATCGGTAAAACAAAAACATACCTGACATATGCACAAAATGTATCAAAACTAAGGGATCATGGTCTCACTGTTTCACTATTTGGCAATGTAGAAAGATTATGATGTTCCAGGAAGAGGTGAGAGTTATAATCGAAAAGATTATTTCAAAACAAATTGTACTGGACCCTAGACTCTTTCTGTTGGGTTTATATCCAGATAAACATAACTACAGTTAAAGTGAACAAGCATTTATAGACTTACATTTATAGATTTATAGTTTGCTTTATGCCAAAAATTGCATAGTACTGTTAGTACCAAGCACTACTCAATGGATAAGACAGATGTGATCGAGCCTTCCAATAGAAAGGGTTTCCTACATATTAAAGGCTAAGCAGCATATATTTGAGAATGTATAGAGGCCCTTCATTAATTTTGTTAAGGACTTAGATTCAACAGATGAGCAAGTGAGTGAATAATTACTATGAACAATGCAGTTTCTGTGTCTATTTATTTATTTATTTATTTTCTTTCTCTCTTCTTCTAATCACTTGAACTTTTTTTATCATTATAATTAATAAACCCAATTTTGTATAGAGTGCTTGTTAAGATAAGAGGAGCATTTGTTTGTTTGCCTGTTTTTTTATTTATTTATTTTTATTTCTTACTATGTTCAGCATGAATCTAGCTATCATATGCTGAAGTATACACTATATTTTACAAATGTAAGAGGCTGTATTTCATGATGTTAAAATTTTAATAAAAATATTGTGGCAAACAACTTCTTGTCATAATTGATATCTCATACTGAACAACCAGTTATGATATTATGGCTACTACTAATAACAGTTCTTTTCATTATCGATTTGATCAATTCATTTGTAATATCAGAAATGATTGAAAATACAAGGTAATGTCTTCAAATGTGTTTTTTGACTGATCACCTGTCTAAAGTCCAAGGATATATCGAATTCACAGACACTCTCACATTTGAGAAGCTGAAACCAGAGAATGTTTAACAACTTCAGCGATGAATAAAATTAAAATTGCTGACAATTCATGTTCTGACACAGATTAATCACTTAATCGACAGCTGTAATTATTTCATGAGGGTCATTTATTAGACTAATTTCTATATTGACATGTTAAATGGTCTTAAGATGATATCTTCAAGCTAAAATAATCACTTTTAAGAAAATTCATTTCTGTTATGGAAATGAATACAGTAGCTGTTAAAATCATGTCATTTGCTACGTTAAGGGGATTTTTTTGCCATTGAATAAAAAGGCTATGGCAGAAATTATAGAGCCATACAGATATCACAGCCATAGTTATGGTACAGAATTTTGGTTAGACAATGAGGTTTATCTTCATTGTATGGATATTGTTAATTACCTGTGATTACTCAAGTTGAATTCAGCTAAATGCTAAAATGTAATGTAACGGTAGCACACATGATTAAGAGTGATAAAGTCAGTGAATTGACCATGTAATATCATTATAAATCAAGCCAATTTATGTGAACAGGGATTAATCTATTTTTTAAAACATAAGCATGGATGATCATTTTTTTAAATTGTAATCATTTATTATTATTATTAATTACTATTATTATTATTATTATTATTATTATTATATACTATTATTACTATTTATTATAATTATTATTTTTAGATATTTTAGAGAAATTTCCTTGAGAAGAAACTTCAGAGGATCTTCATACCATTTGATCAGGCATTAAAAAAAAAGGAAAAAAAAGTGGTTCATGCTAAAAAACTGCTGTAATGAAATTTCTTCCAACAATTCCTTGTGATGAAATAAAACATGTAATGACAAACATGCAAGAGCATGCAGTAGGTGACAGAGCACACTGAACATCTCACCTTAACTGGAAGTGCTGGGAATCAAACCTGTGACCCTCCCCATCATCTAGCGAAGGATTTCTAATAGGATGAAAAAAGTAAACTTTTGATAACCAACCACTGAAACCTGACTTTTTATCATGAAATGCTGCAATTTTGATATTCAAATTTGCACTCTTTTATTTTTTTTATTTTTTTACACATTAAGACGCTGAGAAAGAAACACTTGGAGCATGCTACATGGAACAAAACAAGACAACTGAAAACAGAAAACCCATGTCCTTCACAGTATCGAAGTGACTGTCCCATGTCAGGTATTTAGAGTCATCAACAACATCAACACAAAACATCAAAAGTGTGTGTGCATCTCCGCTGTTTGTAAACTGAGTGTGTTAACTGGAGCCCGCAGTACAGTGAAAAGGAATCATTTATGGATAATGTGTGTGTTTGTGTCTATGTGTTTGTATGTGTAGTTACTATTGCAGACAAGGTTAGAGTAGATGGATGTGTAGCCGGTGTACACGCACTAAGACGTGAAAAGGGTCAAGGAGGAGGAGACACGCATACAGACACTCCTGTGATTACTTATTTAAAGTCCCTCATGAGTTTGTGTGTCTGTGTGTGATTTGTAGGCTACAACTCCTAACACACAGAGGCATGCATGTGTATACATGTCTGTGTGCACATCCATCCATGGTTAGTATAATAATTATTTGATGAAACTGTTGGTATGATTATATTTTAGCAATAATTCTAACGGATCTTACCTATATAGGCCATGGTCACATACTATAGTAATTAATGTTACACAAGAGCATCTGCACTGTTATGTGTTTATTGGATAAAATATGAGATGCTACTTTTGCTAAAAAGAAAGCTGGAAATAACAAAGCAGAACATCAAGTTATAACTGACCGGTCTTAAGATATCCATTGACCATGATGTCCTAATCAATCATCTTGAAAAGTTGGTCAGTTTTTCTGACTGTGTGTTAAACTAGTTCTTAAAACATCAACCAGATAAAGTTTATATCAGTGAGATCATGTGTCTGAGAAATATGACATCTGCTGCCTTTGTCCAATTTTTATTCTCACTGAACATACAACTAAACTAACTAAATTAAACTAATCTGATTTTATCTTTAGACTCAGATCTGAGCTTCAAGTCCCACATCAACATTTTAGACACAGCTAAAGTAAGACCATTTATAAATTAAGAAGATGCTGATTTATTTATTTAGTTCAAACCAACTCGATTACTGTAATGCACTTTTCACTGTCCTCCCAAAAAAACCACTCAGAGGCTTCAGCTCATTCAAAACTCTGAAGCTCAGCTGTGGACTAGAACTAAGAGGAGAGAGCACATTAGTCCAGCTTTAGCTGCTCTGCATGGCTTCTTGTTATATTTAGAATTGATTTTAAGCTCCTCTTGTATGCTGCCTCCCTCAATGGGCGAGGACCAAGCTACTCTGCTAACACTGTGATTAACTATATACCTCCAAGAACATTACGATCATTTACTGCTGGTTTATTCCCAGTAACAGCCATAAGAAAATGCAGCCTTTGTCAATTACACCCCAAAACTATGGAACACACTGCCTATAGAAACAAGCTCACTAAGTACTTTTAAAAGAAAGCTAAAGAAAGAAAATGTATCTGTTCACTATAGCCTTTAACTAGCTCTGACTTTCTTCACATAGCTCTGAAATTTTGCACTTTGCTCTGCATTAATGGACTGCTGCACTTATTTTTACATGCTGTTGTTATTGATGCCAGTGGCTGGTTGATAAATTCGGAAGAAAAGACAGCACCACTGAAAAAGGTGGTTATTTCTGGGGCAACATTAGGTTGTTCCTGGTGCAGATAAAACCCACAGTGAGATTGCACCTGTAGGGAAAATGTTCTGGGGAAGTTGAAAGAGGCTGACCCCAGTGTAATCAAAACCTGTGGTGTGTGGGCATCTGTTGGGAAAAGAGATTCTGTCTTGTGTTTAACAGAAGAGAGTAGGAACACTCAGGCGAAAAAGAAAAGTTATTTGTCTTAAAGTTTCTTACAAGATTTTATGCTTTTTTACGTATTCTATTTTAACTTTATTCATTTATTTAATTCTATTTTATTATCATTCCATTTATTTTATCTTATTATTATTATTATTATAATATTGGGTTTTCTTTTCCATCTCATTTTCCATTCATATTTGAAAATGTTTATGTTAATTTCATGTCCATTTCATGTGAAGCACTTGGTGCATTAATTATCACACTATGTATGTGTGTTTCATTCTCCACGGCCCATTTCACCACCCAGATTCAACCCCATAGACACACATGCATAAAAATACACACCTACACACCACACACAGTGCTGCATGGACTGAATTAGTTTGTGATGTCAATGTTTGGCCTAAGCACGATGCAGAACACCACCACACTGGTCTCTTCCTTGTCCTCTTACAGCTTCTTCTCTATCAACTTGAGTGTTTGCATCTTCGCCTAGCAACTGTGTCTGTGGTTGAACTGTGGTTGAAGAAATAAATGCAGACCTAAAGCTGGTCATCGTCACAATAACAGCTGCAGTGAATCACATACTGCTGTCTTTTTCTCGACATTTAAGCATCTCAATAAGTAAATGGCACTTTTAAAGCATGAATGAAGAGCTGAGCAGAGTTTTGGTGAGTTTACCCTCCACCGCATCTGGTGATATAAGCAGCCCTGCAGGCCCGGGTGTTTCACTAATCATATTTCAACATGACTAATCAACTTGGCATGCTATCAAAGAAAGTGTGAATGTCTTAGGACACCAAACAAAATTAGGTCACTTCATCTGCTTGCACAATGCTTTTTCTTCAGACAACAGAAAGCAGTGACAGGAGACTGAGGAGAGAGAACTCTGCAAGGCAGAAACTTAAGGCACATCAAAGCTCAGAGATCAGAGATGTAAATGATGTTCGAGGCATGTGATCAAAAACATAACTAGAACCAAACTGTTTATACAAGCGGTTATTCTACTTTGATTCTGGGATTCTGTGCTTGAGTCTCACTGGTGAGCTGCAGAAGCTCTCTGCGAGCCTGTCATTCATTGACAGAGCAGGCTGTGTGCGTGTTCCAGTGTTGTTTCCCTTTCAGATACCGTTTCTCTCCCATTACAGTTGTGCCTCCCGTAATGCTCCCGCCTCAGTGGTGAGGGTTAGGATAAGGTTAGGCCCAAGTTGAGTTATGAAGAAACATGTATCGACTGGGAAACAGACTGTGACACAACTCCAGGACTGTGAGCAAATATGTAATCAACTCTACCTGATGTGATCCAAGCTGCTGCCAATACATATCTAAAAGAGGGAATTAGAATTAAACACCTGCCGCTAATACACTCCTGCCTCAAACAAAAGCCTGTTATCTTTTGCAGTTGAGGTAAATAAAGGCCCTGGTCACTATTTGAGGAAATACTGTAGTTGAAAACTGTTATGGATATGGTGTAAATATCGACCAATGGTGTAACTTCATCACTCAACTCTATCGCTGACATTTGCGGATACCAGTCTGGCCAACAACAGGTGAGCAAACACGCTGTTTCAAGGGATAACAGAAAATTGTGGAAAAGATGTTCACTACAGTATGGTGAATTACCTAAATGAGCTATTCCACTAAAAGAAGTAGTTTCAAACACCTGGAAATAACGTGAACATAACAGAAGACAACATGGTGAGCTTCATAAGAATTTGGACAACAATAAATTGCCTATTTGGACTTCACACCCTGTCAGTCATAGATCTAAGGCATTTTACTTGATAGCTTCTAGTAAACAACATGATAACTTTGGTAAGCAATTATAAAAATTCTAATTGACAGTAAACAAGCTGTCTGATTTTTTGGTAGCAATGAGAGGCTTCACTTGTGTTCGCATTCCCATCCCATCTAATCTAGTCAAATATTGTCTGCCAGCTATATCCTCAATCATCACAGAAATCAACAACTCCTCCTTCATCTGTGGTTCAGTCCCCCAAACACTCAAACTGACTGCTGTCATCCCCATCCTCAAAAAAAAAACCTGGCTTTAACCCCGATATGAGCAATTTTTGTCAAAAATACTGGAACATGTTGTCACCTCACAACTCACCTCCAAATAAATGTTTGGACCATTTCAGTCCAGTTTCTGCGCACAGCAAAGCACAGAATCAGCCCTCCTCAGTCACAAACAACCTCCTTCTCTCCTCCGACTCTGGTCTCCTCAGCATCATCATCCTCCTCCACCTCTCTGCAGCTTTTAACACCATCAACCACACCATTCCCCACCTTGAATCCTACCTCAAGATCACTGGTACTGCTCTCTCCTGGTTAAGTTCAACTCCAACTCCACCAAATCCATCACCACTACAAATCACTTCACTCTGACCAACTGCATCACTGAAATCAATTCATGGGCGCAAGCTAACTTCCTTGAACTTAACTGTGATAAATCAGACATCATTATCATCATCATCATCATCATCATCATCATCATCATCATCATCATCATCATCATCATCATCATAAACTAAAACCACTCACAACTTCTGCCTCACAATCACAATCACCAACTCCACTCCATCCCGTTCCCCATACATCCGCAACATTAAAGTAGTTTTTGAAAGCAACCTCTCCTTTGATCACTACGTCAATCAAATCACCAAAACTGCTTTCTTCCACCTAAAAAACATTTATCCAAATTATCCAAAGTCTTCAATATGCTCCAGTACATCGAGGTCTCTGCTGCATGCCTGCTCGCTAAATCTTGCTCCTGTGACCAGGTCATCCTCCAGAAGCTTCATTGGCCTTCTGTGCTACAACAGATCCACTTTGAATTCCATCTCTTAACTTACAAAGCCCTCCATAACCAGGCCCCTTCCTTCCTCACTTACCATCACCACACTCCTTCCCGCAGCCTCCCTTCCTCTGATGCCAAACTCCTGTCCACGCCACTCAAGACCAAGTGACACAGCATTTTCCATAGCTGCCCCCTCCCTCTGGATCTCTCTCCCCAAACACATCTGAGACTGCACTGATCTGTCCATGTTCAAATCACAACTCAAAACTCACCTTTTCAGAACTGTTTTTAGTGTAGGATTAATATTGTGTCTCATGCTTACCTGCTTTATTTTATTATTTTTCTATGCTAATTTTTTAATTCATGTAAAGTATTATAAATAAAATGTATTATCATATTTAATTCCTGAAAATATGAAAACCTTAAAAAGACTACTACTACTTGCTTTCCTATTGAGGTTATTTTGCCTTCCCTTTAATAGAGTATCTCTATGAGGACTTAATTCAAGACATGAGATGCTTGGCTCTAAATTGTTAAGACACACTAAGTAAAACATAACTACAGCAAGTAAGACATGAAGACAGGTCTGAATTGCCAGAACAACTTGATTTTTTCTGCTACTGCTGCTAAAACAGAGGGGACTCTAACCACTTCCCTCACCTGGCTGAAAAGAAATATTGCATCATGAGATAAAATGAATGCAACAACTGGAGATGCATTATATCCAGTACTACAGAACGTGAGGTTCCATTTGGCTCTGCAGTTTCCACACTGTTGGATGTGTACAACACAGTGAACAAGACTGACACAAGCTTCTGTCAGTGTTACACTTTAGGCAGCATGGTAATCTCAGAGGCTATTACAGATGCACCTTGGGCAAGAGCAAATAATAAACCTCTTAACTCTAAAGAGAATGGAGGACTAATCCCTCACTCAACAAAGCTTAACACAGGGGTCCTTCAGTTATCCTCTGAAACAAGTTTTTTTTTAATCACTCTGCTGCAATATTCCTCTGCCAGTCTTTATTTTGCAAATGGAATATGACAACATATATGGCCTATTCTAACAGAGGCATTATGGAGTATATGTATTCATTAGTTCTTCCTGATTTCCACCACTTTTCCTTGTTGTGTTACCTGAAAATCTGCTCTAGTCTGCAATTCTTCTGTAACATATAACCACTAAATATACCAGCTGAGAATGCCACTCAGATCAAACTTTATATCTGACAAGCAGCAGGGGAAACCTCCACCTCTGGCAACATTTGAAACAGACTTTGATAGGAAATTTGACCCCTTTAGTCCCAAGTTGTATAGCAGCTTGCTTTGGGATTAGGTGTTAGGGTATAGCATCTTAAGCTTGCTTCTGGTTGGACTAGGAGCAGCTGTCAGAGCAAAGTGACTGAAAACTGAACAGGTAGAAAATATAGCAGGCAGGGAGGACGAGTGAGAGCAAACACAGCTGAATAAACTGGAACAGTCAGAGCTCAAGCAAGATCTGAGAAGATCTGTTTCCATTTCCACTCATCATTAAGAACCAAAAAGATTAAGAAATGTGTCACTAAAAGCCATTTATTTTTATTTCATATTAGAACTTAGAGCAAAACTATTTATTCCTCTGGCTAATTGATTTTTCAACCAAAAGACATAAAGGTTTGCGCATATAAAATTCTGGGTTTGCTCAACTCAGTTTCACTTCTCTGCACTGCTTCATAAAAGTGTTTTTTGTACCAGTATAGCTGATTATTGAATGTGGCTCATCTTCACAGATGTGAAATAGGATTTGTTATAGGATTTGGCTGTTTCTAATAACCGAAAAAACTAAACTGATCTCAGGAAAACACATAAAACATTTGAAACAGAAAGACATCTGTCTTTGCCACAGATGCCACATTAGCACAGAAACAGGCAGGAGGGACAGAAGCACTGTTTTCTATCAAACTATCCATACACAGTCCCTTTCACATTTTAACCCTTAATAATACAAATGTCTTGTACTTTGAAGGGACAGCTGCTGGACCTGAGGCAACATTTACTCTAACAACATTATTTCCAATAACCAACATAAACAGAAGCCTTTCTAAACAACAGCTTGTACCACCAACACCCAAACACAGCGTAGTCATGGTAGTGGCACCAAGCAACACATGACATGTCCAGACAGAAATCACAAGATACATTCAGCCACAAACACAATACAGCACAACAGAAATACAGGACTAAAGCAGACCAGTGCATTTTAAATTGTTCTTTCTTGAGACCGATGTGATCAGAATATAAAGTTGCAGCTCATGATTGGGAATCAGGGGACCATTTTTTTTTTTTTTTTTTAAACGCTGCAGGGAAATGCAGACTTCGGGATTAGTGGAATTTTACAAAAATAACAGGTGATCCAAACTTAGAGACAAAAGATCTCTTCAGATTGGATCATAACTCCCGGTGGAGTTTTGATTGCTTGAGTTGCCACACAAACACACATCAGTGAAGATAAGGGGAGACAGGACAAGCGGGTGGGACAAAATTTCTACTTGCAGTTCTAGTAGTCTGGTAGGAAGGGAGGTAATTACCGTAAGAAGGAAAAACCATCCAACCTGTTTATATCCTCTTCCCCTAGTAAGTGCTTTGGAAGTGGGGAATAACTCCCAGGGGAAATGGAGGGGAGACCAGACTTGTACTCCAGAGTGCCACTATTGATGGGAGAAGAGATATGATTTTCCATGGCTGGAGAGAAAGCTGTGTGAGAGAGTAAAAGCAGAGTGACGTAAACAGACAAACTGATTTGCACAATTTCAAGCCAATAAAGTATTGCTGCATGCTCTGTATTTCTAATTGTCAATATTTAATATTTCAAATTCAGTTTCAAAATGAAGTGATTGGGTTTAAAATGTGAAAAGAAAAAAGTGAAAATTTCTGACATAAAAATATACTTCTAAGAATGAAAGGATCTCTCTACGACTGTTCAAAGGGGTTTTACAAGTGAATTACATAGTAAAGTATAAATACAGTAAGTATAAAACCAACTATTTTTCCAGAGACAAATTTTAGTTCATGTTAAAGATTTAATAACAATGGAGGTGAATTAAAGACGCTCAGTGTAGTAAATTGTCATCTGATTGGGAAGTTCAATTGAGCTTTTTGGCCTCTATAGCTTGTTGTTTTGGTTTAACAGCACATTTACTTGTTCATAAACACCATTGTTACCAATAGCAGGCAGCTACTTTTAGTGGAAAAACTCCACAGTACAGTGGCCAACTTGTATAATCCACAGTGCACTAGTTAGTAACTAGCAGATGAAGAAAGCTGAGTATATAACAGGAGACCAAACCAGCACTAAAAAGGAGAGTGAATATTGGATTTACATCTATTAGGTGGTGAGAAAATTAGTGCTACAGATGTTCTGTATCTGCTTAACATGTAAATTGGTAACTGTTTGTATGTGGTGATAGTGATAATTAGGGTTGTATGAGCCAAACACTGATTTCATGCAGCTTTAACTTGAAAAGGTTTTGTGTGTTTGTGAAAGAGAAGCTGACTCGCAGTCATGCCTTGACAACTGGCCTCACCAAACACAAATCTCACATGGTTAAGCTTTTTTAAAGACAAATGTTGAGTCAATTGATAACTAATACCTAATCAGTTAGAATACAAGAGGTGGTGACTTACAGTGTGTGATATCGGGAGGCCCATAGGGATCTGACAGGTAGACATTGGTGGGCTTTCCCACCTTTAGGTAGACCACGTCCGATGTGTTCTTCAAAATGGCCACAGCCTCTTCATGAGACACTTCCTCCAGACTGTAGTTGTTCACCTGTCCACACAATGAACAGTCTTTCTGTGTTCAGTGATTTGAGAGGCTGCCTCGTGTTCTCAGCTGCTCAATTCAGAACAGTCTGGCGTGTTCCCTGCCTCCAGGAGACTTGATTATGACAGATGGTCTTTGGGTGAGAACACGACAGTAGGAGGGTAATCAAATTAAGTGCTGGTTAAGCAGGCCGGACGCTCTCCTCAAGAGAAAGCTTGCTGCTAGAGTACTGAGCCAGTAGGCTACTTACGTATATGTGCCAGAGAGTCATTTAATCACTTAATTATCATTTGGGACAAACACACTACTTGGTCAATGCACTGCTATTTGAAGAAATATACAAAGTATAACCTGATTCCTGGAGTCACCATTAGTCTCTTGGATATCAGTCTGTATAATAGCAACCAGTGTATTAACAAGACACAAATGGGAAACACGTTATTCATAAAACTAACACCAAAAGATTCAGTGTCATGGGCTATAAAGTCATCATCAAAGAGCCTGAATTACTCCATTTAATGAGTATCATTTATAACCCCATTGTTCTCATTTGTCAGCACACCAGAAGCAAAATAGGTGTGTTTTAAGTGAGGGGTGTTTTTACTTAAATTACACCAAAATTAGTGCCAGTGTGTTAGTGCCAGGACTGTTGTATTGGATTGAATTAAAAACAGTGAGGTTTCTATCAGTTTCCACTGAGGTTCATTGAAGCCCCCACACAACCATATTCTAGAGCCTATAGAGTTTGGTGACATCAAGCAAATCCCATCAAGCTCCACCCACCTCAGATCAGAGTTTTCATCAGCCAGAGTGAATGGAAACAGCCTGTGTGTATTAAAGCTTGAACTAGATCTTCTTGCAAAGTCTAAAAATGGGACTCGTGTGACATTACCAGCAGACCTGGTACTCACCATTAATAATCTGTCTCCAACTTGTAGCCGGCTGTCCTTCTGTGCTGCCCCACCATCAATGATTTTGGTGACGTATATGCTGTTGTCACCGGGGATGTGCTGGTTTCCAACTCCACCTGCGATACTGAAGCCAAGCCCTGTGTGTGTGTGTGTGTGTGTGTGTGTGTGTGTGTGTGTGTGTGTGTGTGTGTGTTGTGTAGTTGGTTAGTTTCTGGGTTATGAGTCTGACAAATGTTATGCATGATGCTTATATGATGACATCTATTATGATATACAGTTTATTAATTCTTTAAAATAATTAGAATATTTGTATGCTAATATGTTCATCACTTCTTGCAGATGCTTTCTTAAAAAGTATTTTTAAGACCCTTTCATTAGCAGTAACTGTCTTTCCCCTCAATATTACCACCATATTCTTATGCTGAGCCAGGAACAGCCCTGTTAATATATATGCAGCAGTGACCAGCTTTGTTCCTGATCACCATTACCCATGAAATATTTACATGACGATCAAATCACAGGACAGAAGTGATTGGGATTTACAATAAGTCTGTATGTGACAGACCTGTATGACTTGACTAAGCAGGACTGTTTATGTGTTTGAGCCCACCTTTTGGTCCTTTGATGAGTTTGATCTCAATGATGGTCTCTAGCATCGGCCTGCGGCGTCGCACGTATAGTCGGACAATAGAACCTGCAACCTTCAGGGCCTCCACTGCCTTACTATGAGATACTTCAGACACATCTGCATCATTCACCCGCAGGATGCAGTCATTTACTCTGGAAGAACAACAGTGATGAGACGCTGTTGAACATTTTGACAAAAACAAGAACAATTTTATGTTTATCCAAAAAGCTACTTACAAACACATAAATCAACAGACTGAATTGAGTGAGTGGTAACTTTTATGAATATATAACTAACACAATATGTTTACACTATAGACAGACAGCAGTCCTACTTTTGCATCTTCTCCGTGTAGACACACAAACACACACATCTGATGGCTGAGTGCCTAAGATTTTGCCAAGAATCCAGAATGATTTAGATGTCAACAGTGAAGAGCAACAGAGGGACATTTTTTTTTCCACACCCAAGCAGCACTCCTTGCATTTTTCTTTTGACTTAAAACTGTCTGTTGTTGCCAGTAGATCATGGTAACCCATGTGCTTGTACACTAATTTTAGTTTGCAGGCAACGTTGTGCCATTTTATACTTAATTTCAGTATGATTATTAAAAATTATAATTCCTTTATTTATATAGCACCTTTAAAAACAACGGTTTTGTTGGATTTGGTAGGGATGCGTTTGGTTATTGAGTATGATTTATTTTTATGTCTAAAAATAATGAACTACTTACAAAAAATTTTTATTAATTAATTTTTATTAATTATTATTATTAAAGTTATTACTACTAATTAATAATACAGGGCACCACCCGGAGACCGGGAGGATAACCAAATCAGGTTGCAGTCTCACGACCTAAATAGTTAACTTAAAGTAGCTGACTCTCTCGATTAGCCACAGGTCACAATAAGCATGCACAATAATGACTAAAAGACTTCTCTTTAACCACAAAAATGTTTATTTAATCTTCATAGTAAACAACAAAATTAACCACAGTCCAGATTAATAACACAATTTACCAATCATCCAACTAACTAAGCATGCACAAAACACAACAATACAGCAAATGCATTCAGAAAACGCATTCAGATGCTGTGTGTGTGTGTGTGTGTGTGTGTGTGTGTGTGTGTGTGTGTGTGTGTGCGTGCCAAGATGGCGGACGTGATCTGAAAGATTACGTCGTGCGAGACCCAAGATGGCGGACATGACTTGGTGAGTGGTCGTGTCACGTGAGCCAAAATAGTGGACGGTTATTGGTATTTCTTGGCTAGACAACAAGCAATGCCGACTAGCAGTTGGAATTCTTGAGCTCACCCAACTTAAAAGCCTCACCACCCGTGGCTAGAGGGGAGGGAGGTTTAATGTGTATGTGGAGTGATTGTGTGTGTGTTGGTGGAGAGAGAGAGAGAAAGAGAGGAAAGGCGATAAAGGCGTTAACTTCTTTAACATAGAACATTATAAGGTTTTCTGCCTTAGACTTACATCATGTAATATTTTCTTACATGTTACTCTCCAAACATAAACTTTGCAAACTTACGCAACTTTAACTTCGTTGCAGGTTTTGTCATCACATATGCTACCATCTGGTCTGTTGGACTATACTCCAGAATAATTTTTCCATCATTCACAGTTGACCCTAAAAAGTGATATTTTATGTCAACATGTTTACACCTCTGTCTGCTTACTGGGTTCTTTGCTAACACTATTGTCCCTTGGTTATCATCATAAACCTTGGGTAGTGTATACTGACATCTGTCAATACCCTCTAGCAGTTGTGCTAGAAACATACACTCCTGTATGGTTGAAGCTAATGCCATATACTCTGCCTCACAAGTGGATAGGGCAACAGGAGGCCGCTTTTTGGTTTTCCATGAAAAGACAGGTTCACTTTCATTGAGACTTACAGAATAACCAGTTGTACTATGTCTGCCAGTTACATCAGGGATGATGTCTTCCACTCTAGCTCACATTCCATGCAATACACACCCATTATAAAGTCTGTAACGGCCTAAAAATGACATAGATAGCAGTGGCGATTGCTCTAAGACTGCAAGGGAAGCTCAGCTTCCCCTAAAATGTCAACAAAATAAGTGGTCAAATATATACTGTTGTGTGTACATTTCATTGACTAAATATGCGCTAGAACACGTTCATCTTTTGTTCAGAATCAGCTACTTATCACAGGTAACCGACACGACTTCCTTCTCATTCATCCCCGCAGCGCCACAGTACTTTACACAGTGTAGACGCCGAGCGTCTACTGACTTCAATGGGGAAGCACAGAGTGGGTTGTTCCACTGCAGCGAAACTAGACGGTCATTGGATAAATGCTGGGCTTTGTCCCGCCCATCGGACACTCAGCGTCTCTGGGGGTCTATGGGACAGTGGGCTGGCCCAGACGCTCGGCTTCTGCATGATGATTGGATGATCTGTCTGAGGCTGAGTCCCTTTTTGATTGACAGCGAAATAAGCGAATCAGCGATACTGAAGTATAAGCATCCACCGGAGCATTTTTCAAGTTTTTCATTCCGTTGTTCGGAGTTGATCTGGAGACGTTACTGATCCTCAGCGACTTTGTCTTTGTTAAAAACGACTAGCGTTGTGTTTGGTGACTCTCTTCTGTCACTCTGCGAATTTACATATAAATAAACGGACACATTTTATAATGTAGGCCGAAAATGAGCTTCCTTCCTTACCATTCACACCTGGGGATGACCCTTCCCCCAACGGACCTTACTGGCCAGCCAGTGTGGGTCAGCGTGTGACATGTGACCCCCAAGGGTGTCACCAAACAAAACCAGATCTCTGGCCCTCTTCTCTCTCTCTTCTCCCTCGGCTTGCTCTGGAGAGCAGCTCCAGCTCTCTCCTCTCGGCTCTTCAAAGGGCAACAAGGCCCCAGCCCAGGTCAGCTGTGCTACCTGAGAAACCAGCTCTCTCGCCGGCCCGCTACCAGCAGCCTGCAACCGCTCTTCTCCTCAAGAGCAGCGACCTGCTTCGGATCAACTGTGAGTGAACCAAATCCTCCTCAGAATCAGCAGCTACGACACAAGGCCAGCTGGTTTTCCAAGCAACAGGAGTCGTAGCAGAGTTAGCATGGAACAGCTAACTCTGTGAGGAGAACAAAGGAGATAACTGCAAAGCAATACAGCCAGACAGGACTCGTCTCAGCTCTAGAACCTGCATGAAGCTAACTACCCCCCTCTAACCTGGTACCTTTAGATTACATGAGCTAGGCTAACAAAGAAACTCACACCTTCCCTCTCACACACCCCAGGTGGTCCAGCGGCCATTTTGAGTAGTTTCTTTGTTTACCGCCATCTTGTGTAGTCTTCTTTGTTCAGGTCATGTGGTCACAGTGACCACTTTGAATCGGCCATCTTGCCTTTGTTTGTGTCCCCACAAACACACACTCATACCCCTACACACACACATACACACACCTGTATATACTAGATCAGACATTGTGTTTTACTCTGCTCCATTGTAAATAAATGCCTTTAAGTATAACTACTGGTGGGTTTAATGTTGCACAAGTGTGAATATTGCCAACCTCTACTTGGTAGAATTCCAATCCTTCAACTTTAACTTACTGTTGATTTGGTAATTTGGTTATAGTTAGTAAGTTAATGGTTAATCAGAGTTCCAGATTAATGGTAATAAATTGAGACTGAAACCATATTGGCTATTTTGCCTATTAGTTTAGGCTGGTGCCCCGTGAACTTTAATTAATTTTAAAGTTATTATTTAATATTCATATTTTTAATATTAATATTTTCTTAATTTATGATAGCCAATAAATTGATAAACAACCGAAATCCAACATATTTGGTGTCCAGCTCATGAGGTAGAGCTCAGACCCAACAACGGGATACTTGTAATAACCAGTGGGGGTGTTGAAGGCTGTCTTCCATTCATCGCCATCTTGGATCGGGACCAGATGTTGCGGAGATCGAGCTTGGTGAATATGGTGGCCCCCTGGAGAAGCTCGAAGGCGGAAGAGATGAGTGGAAGGTCCAACCTAGTAGCTAACGTGATCAACCCGTCCAGGTGAAGAAAACCATTGCATAGAGCTGATGAATTCCAGTCACTCTGGCAAGCCTTGGTGTGAAAGTCAATGGAGAAGTCAGCCACCATCCGGTCGCCCTAACGCATGCTCATCAGACCCTGTACTGCGTCAGAACCAAAAGCCCCCACGCCGAAAACCTTGAAGGAGATGCAGGCTGTAGTCTGTCTCTCCCACTCAGCGGTTCCCCAGAGATGAGCCCTTCCCTTCAGGTGGTTGATAGTAAAAGCTACCTTAGCCTCCTCGGAAGCTAACGTGTGGGGTTGCAGAGAGAACAACAGGGAACAGTTCGTCAGGAAGGTGCCACAGGTCTCAGGGTCCCCCGCATACCGTTCTGGGGTTCCCACCCGGGGCTCAGGGACGTCTCTGGCCGGTGAGGGTAGACGACTCGGTGGAGCTTGGGAAGGATCCGGAACTGGAGCCTGGTTCAAGGCGGCCATTAGCTGCTGCATCAGGGCGGCCAAAGCTGTTGGCGCCTGCTCATGGACCGCTGCTGAATGTCTTGCTTCAGCTTGTGAGGCAGCCATCATCGATTCATGCTGCTGGAGGGCACTCTCAATCCTCTCAAAGCGACTCTGTGGTGAGGAGGGGTGTGCTGGGTCCATGATTGGTCAGATTGTATTGTCTGAATAGGTCTAAAAATGACACAAAACGTAAACTGCACAAAATTTTGTGTATACCGTAATAGTTGTCAAAATACTGATTTAACCCAAAAGAGTCTCAAGTCTCGTGACCTGTTTAATGTTTCAACCATTTTTCTACGTTGAAGTATGACGCAACAGTAGAGCTCCAAAGTTGGTCGTTTTGAAGATGTCTCCCCATTCATTCTCTATGGAAATTTTTTCGCCTTTTATCGCCATTTAAGTGGCCATGGTTACTTGAATCGCTAAGAAAAGTCACAGCACACCATTCCCGATCGAGCCGCTCGATACATATATTGTCTGGGTTTTCTCAAAGCTGCGGGACTAGTTACACCCTGAAATTCCGGTATGGAAGATGAATAAGACGAATAAGTATGCAGAATAATAATATATGCCTTCAATGCTGTTGCATTGCAGGCACATAATAATGAAAAACTCTACAATGTTAGAAAAGTCTGATAATATACTGTATATTCAGGACTTGTATCATTAAGGCTTATAGAGCAAACATCAGAAATAAAATTTGTGTTTAGTACTGACTGCACCTTTCACCTCACCAGAACAACAGCCTACATGAAAAACACTTAAAATGCTTCCCAGTACAGCCGAGTTGGGGGATTAAGTATGCTTAGAGCTGTGCTACAGAATCCCAGAGTGGTGACAGGAAGTTTGTCTGGTTTCTGTAATGTAATAGAAATGCAAATCCCCATCAGGTCTCCCTCTTCACAGAGATTAGACCATCCATGATGCATGGACATAAGTCTCATGTTATGTGTGCACTGTTACTTGTATGATTTTGTTCTACATCAAGCCCACCAGTGTTTCCACACTTTCATCACTGTTAAACAGTCAGATATCAGCAGTGAATGTGGTGAGACCAGTGATGTTTGTGTATGATTGGTGAGGTTCTCTTACAATGGACATATAATTGACTTTCAGTGATAAATATAAGCCTGCTACGAAAGCGAAACCTTACTAATGATGTGTAAATCTAGAATCAATTCATTGAAAAGATTCAATCAAAATCTGTTCTGCAAATCGTTCAGTGTTTGACCGGTGCTGGGACTGTGTTGTCCTCAATGAACTGAACACGGCTGAAAGATTTTTATTCCTCATGATCCCTGGCTTCCAGAACCGGAGGTGCTTCCGCTTTGACAAACACGCCAAACTCTGTTTAAAACTCTTGGCATTTTAAAATTTTCCTCAGTGAATATGGGAGGTAAGAACTGGTTTTTAATGACTTAAAGTGAGATAGATTATCTTTAAGTCATCCTCCTAAAGGAGATTTCTCATCTGACATTTTTGAGACAGAATTTTTGTTTTCCTGTCCTTTTTTTCTTTCCTGTGTGGGGAAGTGTGAGTGACTGACCTAAGGCGTCCATCCTCTGCTGCAGCACCTCCAGGGATGATCTTAGTGATGAAGATGCCAGGGTCTTCACCGATGTGTGGGTTATCTGTCCCTCCGGCAATGCTAAATCCTAGCCCTGAGTTACCCTGCAGCAATTGGAGAACAGTCAGTGAGAAAAGAGAATGAGCAGGCAGAACCAAGATATCAACACATCAGCTGCATGTTCCTAACCGAGTCTGAGGACAACTGTCTTCAGTGTAGCTGAACTTATTTAATGAAACAGTCCAAGTGTAGATGGAGAAAACATGAATCCTGCTGTTGTTTGTTCCTGTTACATTCAGGTACGCCAAGTGATTTTTTATTTTTTTTGGAAATATTTATATACAGCTTTAGTTACCAATGTTTTCTGTCCATATTTGTCTGCCTTCATCCCCATTTCACTGTCAGATAAGCTAATAATTAATTATTTTAGATGAGGCATCATCATGGAATTGTTGTTGTTTAGGCTTGGTTTTTTACTGTATTTTGACCAAGTTTGCTTATAGCTTATAGCTAATGTATCTAATTTGACTTCTTGCTTGCTAGCTACAGTAATGTTGTAATGTAATGCCTATAGCTGTTAGTTTACTGCTTATTGTGATAGTAGCTACAATAAACTGAAAATCAGCTTCAAATCAATTTATAATCCTATTAGTGGGTTTATTTTCTTCTTAAGTCAAAATGTGGATGCATTTTTTTTATGGATTTTAATCATTTAAAACACCACAAACTTTCCATGTATTCCCTCACAAGTGGAGAACAAACCTCTGGTAGGGAATCACTGATGCACAGGATAAAATAAATCTTGTGTACTATTTGACAGCACTATACAAATAACTACAAAATGTCCCTGCATGCATCCTCACTGCCTTCACACTATACATTTAGCTTTATTAAACGTTGACCTTTAATTCTGTTGAAAAGCACCAGTAACGATTTCTTTAAAAGTAAATCAAATACTGATGCATGATTTAATGGTATGACTTTTTTGTATCACTGCTCTCAGTATGATTACAAAGTGGTCAGTGTGTTAAGTCGTCAGCTTGGCCCTGGTATCCTCCCGTAAGCCACAGCATCTCTCCTGAGTTAACCTGGCTGTGGAATATTGTATTTAGAATTCTCTTTGCAAATAAAATCCCCTGGAAGTCAAATCACAAAATGAAAGAAAAGCTTTGATTGAGTTAAGTTGTAAGTTGATGGGAACAGCAGCTGCTATTGATTAAAAAAACCTACTGAGTGTGCCTGCGGGCCCTCGCTGCCACCAACACTGAATTAAAAAACGCTACTTATCTCTCCAAGGTGACGACTCGAGGGGACCACACACAGACCTGTCCGTGCTTGGCCATCATCAGATGCTAAACATAGGGGTACAGGAAAATGGATAGGGGCTGACTACTGTCTGCATTAAATCTTAGTGCAGGCTTTCTTTTTGGTTGGTTGGTGGCTTTCACCTTTGCTGTTGCTCTGGCTCTCTATGTGCTCAGATTGTATTGGAGCTGTCAAAACTGCTTCTACTCTGTGCTGGTTTAGTATTCATCGAGCCTGTATTTCTGTCTCATTCAAGTTCATGCCAACTGTGCCACATCTGCTTTAGTCCACAAATCGTTTTATCCATTTCAGATAGCAGCTCATGATATATATGCAGATTACCAAGCCACATGCTGAGCGCACATACTTTTGTAAAGCAGGAGGAATGTTTTGACTTTCCTCTATCATGGCATCGTGGTGCACGTTAAAGCTTTCAGGAGACCGTTTGACGCAGTGTTCTCATGATGTACTGAGAACACTGCGCTGGAGGCATGTTCTCAAAGGTTTACTGAGGTCAAACACAGCTTTGGGATCTGAGATACTCACCCGCTCCAGAGTGATTTCCTCAAACTCATATTCAATTTCTGTGCCGTTGACCTGAAGAAACAAAAAAGAGATTAGGCCAAGACATTCACATTTTTAATCCTTCAAACATGCCAGTGCTGCTGAATAATTACTGTATACTGAAATATATTTACAGAGGATAATGTTAAGCAACTCTAAGGCCAACTCCACATACTTAAATTGAGGATGACAGGTGTTTTCCAGGGCCACTTGTGCTTTCTGTATTAAATATGCCCCATCTCAAGGGAAACAATTTGAGATGCTTAACATTATTTTTGCAACATGAAGATTAGCTATAGAGGAGTTGGTCTCATCCTATATTTCATTCAGATGATTAATTACCAGTGATCACTTCCATTATCATGCATATGCATAAGGCATGTGCATATCATATTCCCAGATGAACACCATTTTTGAGTAGCATCAGACTCTATTATCAGAACTTCATATGAAAGGTATGTGGAAGTAAGAAAGACTAAATTAGCAACAGCAGTGAACCAGGAACAGTGCATAAGAGAACAAAGTCAGTTTATTTGATGTTACTATATGATAAAATCTTCACTCTTCAGTTTATGGATAAATCTCGATCATATGAATGAAAAAAAAAACAGTGGTTGAAGCTGATGCTCTCCTGTCCTCACTTCTTCTGTTAATTGTTAACACAACCATCAATAGTGACAATTTCCTCATGAAGAATATATCACATCTTGGAGCCCATTCCCTGTTTAATTCAGCTTCTGTGTTGCACCACAGTTTCAGTTATTTGTTTTGATGAAGATGAAGGTCTTTAGAAAGTCTTGTGCTGTTTTTTTATTCATGATAAACATCAATAATTCAACACTGTCACCTTATTTGTTTTACAAAGATAAGTTACACAATCAAAATGTTTAACTAATACATCACCTCCATCTCACCTCCAACTCAATTGTAGAGAAGAAAGGACTGATTCGTTTTTTTAATGTGCTCCTTTAATCTGCTGCAGGTATTGATCTTCTACTGAAAAAGGCTAATAGGTGCAGTAATAAAAGACACAAAAATTGAGACTCACATAAGGAACTGACTCCAAAGTGTCTGTGTTGACAATTATTGGGGCAGGGCTGGCCTGTAAGAGAGACAGAGAGAGAAGGGGAAGGAAAGGATGAGACTTAGGTTTTAGTAATAGAGACACTTGTGCCCACCACTGTCCTACTTTCCATAAATGTATCCAGGGGGCAAGCTTGTGGATCTCTGTATCATCAACAATTTAACAGACTTCCATTTGCTGGATGGCACCATAAACACTCCCGTCATGCACAGCACTTTGACGGAGTTACTATAGCTGAATAGGTTTTTCAGGAGAGAGGGGTGAGAACATGTGTAGTAAACAAGTGGATGTAGTAAGTTTTTGTGCGGATATGAAATTATGACACCTTACTGATAGAAAAGACACAGCTGAGCAAAGTGACACAGTTCACACACTGCAGTTTATGTTGAAATGTGCAACGATGGCCTGGAAAACCTAAATGTTTACATTTTAAAGACAGCAGTGGTAAAACTGTCAAAACCTATTTTAACAGCTTTCACTGCACCACTGCAGTGCTCTCTAGCCTGTACTGTATATTGGAAGTTCGACCTCCAATCAGGTTATAATATTGCTGTCATAACACACAACACACAGTACACAGAATACGCAAAATGCTTCCTCCCAATGGCCTGTAGAAAATGAGCAGATGGTTAAAGGCATGAATCCCGAGAGAGGAACTCGCAAATGTTTTGGCCACAACAGAAGAAGAAACCTGAATAAGAAGAAGAAGAAGAAGAAAGACCTGATCATTCTTCTGTGCACAATTAGAATAATAAATAAGTAGTATATCATATTGTGTTTGAAAGATGAGGGCACCATTATAAGTATACATATTTTACATGTGGTGATACCATGAGGTAGAAGAATTATTGTACTGTATGCACACACACAGATGTTCATCCCTGCTACTGTGACATCTCAGAGTGCCCTACAGGCTGTGTACCTGCTGTGTATCTCACTGACATGATGCTGAAGATGAGGTGGTTTTCTTGCTTGGTCATCAGACACGAGACTCAGCTACATTTATGTTAGCCAGCTGCTTGGGTAAAATACTCAACAGGACTGGCTGGTTGATAAATAAGTGTAAGACCCTTGGTTGATGACTCAACCATGCAGGTGCACAGTGTTGTGCTTAAACCATGTGGACGCTCATTTCTATGAACAGAATCTAATTTATTAGTTTCTTCTTGTGCTTGAGAAGATGTGCACATTTAGAGCTGTTGTGGACAGGTGTACAAACCAACTCTATGTATTTATGTTATTGTCCTGGTCAAGACTACAGGTTTACAGGTCTCTGGTGTGTCTCTGGGCGTAGCAGTCCTCTGCTCCTCACCTGCTCCACTCTGCTCCTTTTCCTCCTCCTGATTGCATCAGCCAGTGCACCTCCTAATCAGCTCTGTAGTTCTTCAGTCACTCATTGCCAGATCATTCATGTGTGGTGCTACCTTCCTTTACAATAAATCCAGTTAACTTGCTCACCTGTCTGTGTTCTGCTTCTGGGTCCACTAAGCCTCGCTCACTGGTTATAACATTGTGATAAAATGAACTGAATGAGCAGTGAACTGTTTAGGCACAGTGAAGGCCAGTATGGCATTTTTCTTGTATGGTTCCTTTTATGGATTTTATTTTTTTATTCATTTTATGTATTTTCTGTCTTATCTATAATCACCCCTGTATGCACCTCTGATCAAAATAATTTCCTCATTTGGAAAATAAAGTTTGATTTGATTTAAAATGAATGAGTAATTAAATTATTCATGCATATCTTACTAGTCTGAACATCTTCTATCAAAGTGATTCTAATCCAATATACTTTTTATCATTGTGTGTACCTACACAACCCTGGAGCTGGGAATGGGAGACAAAAAAAGTGGCTCTAATTGAGCAACACAATAGTATTCTAGCCAATCAGCAACAGTTTGTGCTTGTGCATAGGAAAAGGGAAAGAAGAAGGAGAAAAGTAAAGAAGAGGAGAGGAGGGGAGATGGGCAGCGGGAGCAGGAGATGGTAAATCTGGCATATGCCAACAGATAGTGCCAAATTAATGATTACCAGGGGAAGGAGAAGGAGCGATCTTCCCCTCCAATGTCGCCAGACAGTCTGGAGTTTTGAACAAGATTGATTTGGAGGGCAGATGAGATACTGGTGGTGATGCTAATGTGAGTGCATGCAGGAACGTCTACCAGCGGTGTGACTACAGCGTAAACTCCACAACACAACTGCACTGTCAAGAAGGAGAGATCGCCAAAGAACAGTCTAAGAAGAGAAGGACAGAGGAAGAAAAACTGAAAAACTGCTATTATGAGGAAAGGGTGACGTTGGTAAGGCTTTCCAACAGTGGAGACTACACAGTGGGACTGGGAAAGGAATTCAGCCCTGGACTTATCCATTGGGATCGGCCTGCACCCTGAATGACAGAGACAGCTGGTAAAGAGACAGAATGGAACAGGAAAAACTTGATGGCCCACTGGGATTTTTAGTGAATGTGAAGAAGACAGAGCGAATTTCCCTCTGTGATCTTTTTTCCTGTTTTGTTTAAGGTCTGCTGTCATCCAAGTTAACTTCCTGCTCAATTCTCAACCCCATGAAAACAATGAAAACCATCATTTTAAGATTAAAATAGAAGAATAGAATTGAAGTAAATCCCATAGAGAATTGGAGCTGGTTTATGTGAAGCTGATCAACAAAGCAATTTAAAGATATTTGACCTTTTCGAAGAAGACAGTATGTATTTAATGCAATAATTGTACCCACCATATAAACTGGACATTTAAGACTAATGTCCCTTGGTTTGTGTGTTGAGGCCATTAATCTATAGCATCTCCCATCTTAATACTAAAGCATTTCTACTCATGTGAATTATTAAATGAATATGGCTCATTCAAATAAGAGAGTCTGAACTGTGTGCATGTCTGATCACAGATTCAGACAACAACAGCAAGACTGAGTGACTCAGTGCATTTAACAAATTACGAAACATTAGAGTTGGCTGGCTGTGCAGGACGGCAAAGCCAGAAAATGTCTGAAGGAAAAAAGTGTTTGTGAGAGGAATGATGAGAGGGATTAAGACGCCTTTGTTTGCTATACACAAACACTAATGATTTCATAGGAGATCTTAGAGAGAGCAGACAGCGCATCAAAAATGAACTCAATTCTGATTTAAAATAGCACAATATGGCAGCATGTGCACTTTATTTTAAATGTTGACATTTACAGTCAACATTTAAAATAATCATAATAATCTCATGTTAGCACCACAAATGTTTGTTAAAAGCCAACTATCATATACATCCACTTGTAGATTACTCCTCTGTGATGCTGTAATTCTTCTCAGAAATAAAGCCACTTACAGCTGTTACAGATGGACAGCAAATTTCTCTCTATTATGCTGGAGAGCAGGAAGCTCAAATAATCTGATTGTAGGTCAGGAGGTTCTGCCATTAATCTTATTTCTGTCACTGGATGCTTTCTGCCGACCATTGCCTGTTGAGTCCGCAGCAGTGGCACAGGTTCACAGCATGGAAAGGCATGCTAACTCTGTGAGCTGTACCGTAGTGAAGAGGGTTAGCCTTTAGTATACTACAGCATAGCTCTGAGAAGTAAAACACAGTCACATTAAGTTATTTAATCTTAACTAAAATCTATTTTTAAAAAAAGAAAAAAGAAGAAATGAAAAAAATAATAAAATTCATATATCCATATCCATATATTTTCACTTCTTTGCACTAGTATACCCCTACAGTATCTAATAGCTCATAACATGGATATTGCTGCCACTATATATCCACATGTATGCACACATTGCCACGTGATCAATTGCCTCCAATAGCACATTAAGCCAGTGTTCCAGCAGCATGGCAAAACTGTGCATGATATGGTACCTATAAACTATGCCAGTGATAATATTCTAACCTAATAATATTGAATTACTACTTAAATTCCTCCCAGTACAGAAAAAAATAAGAACATTCACAGTTCAATAGTCAAACAATGTAGGCTCAATGCAGTGTTTTATCAACCAGGGCAGCTGTCTGATCGTTTCAGACCAGATGCTCTCCTGCATGGCTCATACAAAGACTAAAATAAATATGTGGATGGACTGTTTTCTATTTGAACCCACGATGCAACAATATTGTGTATTTTGTCTTTACTTATAAACTCTACTATTGCGTTGAAGAGAACATAGGTGACACATTCATCAGCCGAAACATAGCAAAGCTCTAACTGGATGACCAGAAAGATATAAACCCTTTATTCCAATGATGAAAAGCTGCAGAAAGCCACGATGCAGCATCAGATAGTTGATATGTTTATAGAGTGAGTTGCTTGTATTTCTTCAGCAGTCTTGTGCTCGTGTTGAGTTTTGCTCAATAATTCAGCGGCACCTCTATGTATAGTGGCTCATGAAAACAGGACTGTATCAATAATTCACTGGTATCTCATTTAAAAATAGTCAACAACACAATGTGAGATGTGGATGCTTTAGGAGTACGGTAAGGGTGAGGGGAAGAAGATGGAAGAGTGTAATGGCAATGGACAGATAAGCCAGGCTAGAGGAATGATGAAACATAAAATGTGACTGAAACTATGTTCATATTGGAAGTTCATTGGTGCATATTGCTGGCTAGCAGAAACAAAAACGATGAATTCATTAGGGCCTAATTGGAAATAATGAAGTGTAGCAAAGGAAAATAATAATGGAGACCAACCAATTTTGCATGCGACTGGTGACAAGATAAAGTGATTCTGATATTAAACTTCCATTTCAAAACTTAGAAATGTGCCTTTAGAGTTTATCACTACTACTGCAGACTGTATGAAATATGTCTTCTTTTAGAATTTAGGTATTTTCCCTCTATCTCCTATCTTATACGGTACCTGTGTTCCATCTTATTCCCATTGTCCAGCTCCATATCACAAAGGCATGGAAATAGCAAAAGAACAGATAATGCTAACTGCTGCTCCCCCTTGCAATTTCCCTGCTTGGCATTTCCCTCAGCTAAATGATGGATGACCTCCCATTACCCCCCACTGGCCTT